GCCGGCCCACAGGCACCGGCTGCCCTAAGGACACCGGCACTGCCAGCTCTGAGGAATGGTGACTGCTGGGTGGTGGGGAGCAGGCTGGGGCCACGGGTGGTTCTTTCCCAGCTGGGGACGACTGATCCTTGAAGTCAGCAGAAATCTCTGTACAGGGAACAAACAGGTAGGCCAGGGTGAGGAACAGCTTGGCCAAACACCAGAATAATCCCTCCCATCCACCAGGGCAAGAGGGACCCCTCAGACTGAGCCATCACTGACCACCAGCTGGGACAAGGAAACTCATCCTGTGCTCCCACTTGGCTTGCTACGGGGAGTTTCCAGCCTGCCTCCGTGGAATTCAAGCTCTGTCCAGTATCATGGAAGAGGTGGGCCCAGATCTGTTGCAGCAGAGCCACCAAGAAACTTTGACTCATACTAATGCCTGACTGACATCTCCCTCAATGCCTTAATGACTACTGCCAATGGTAAAGGCATGCAAGAGCAAAGACCTGGGTCACAACAGACTCTCCCCTCAGTGCTTGACAAACCCCAGGCTCAAACCCAAAGACAACAGGCAATGCTGGCTTTGTCTCCTTACCTCCACTTTCGATGAGAATGTCAAACAGGTCATCCATCTGCTGGCTGGAACAGCCGTTCTCCTGGGGAGAGTGAGCGTGGATTAGCTTCCTATTTACACCGGGGAGCTTCCACCTCCCCGCCCGCCACACCCTTTGCGCTCCCTTTTTACCCGGGGGAGCTTCCCCCTCCCCGCCAGCAACACCTTTGGCTGCTGGCTCTCCTCCCCTGCCCCAGGGATGGGGCTGTTGTCTAGCAAGACTGAGTAAGCCTGAGGCATGGCACCAAAGTCCTCTCTAATCCTAGACTGTTAAAGGGATGGGAAGGTGCAGTCAGCGACTGCTGTACCAACACTCAACAGGGAGTGAGTGGCTTGGGATCTCTACCTGTGGTTTAGGGTCTGCCCCAAACCCTCCATCCAGAAGGAACTCAGCTAGCAAGGGCAGCTGTGTCTCCATTCCCTACTACTGGCTCAGATCAGGAATCCAAGCAGCCTTACAATGGCAGCTTTTCACCTGCTCTCCAAGGAAACCAGGGAGAAGAATTGCTCTCACCTGGGCCTTTGGCTGTTGCTTCATGGCGTCGTCGTAGCCTGGCGGCTCTTTCATTGAAACCGAGGGAACAGGGAGAGAAGGTGGAGGAGTTCCAAAAAGCGACGTGTGCTGTTGCTGCTCCAGGTCCATCTGGGATGGGGAGGGGGCAGCAGGAGAGCTGGGCTGCGATGAGGACTGTTTAGAATGAAGGCAGAAGTAGTGATCAGGGGCAAGTCCACACCAACTCCCATCTCATAGCTGCTTTGAGAGACCATCATCCCCTCTCTTGGTGAGCACTGGCACAGACATTTGCACTGCTCTGCTCCCAGAAGCCTGGCTTCTTCAGTGTACTGTGCACTATGCCCTGGCCGCAGGGGAGGAAGACAGGATTTCCCCTCCAACTCACAGCTGGAAATCTTCTGCTGATTCTTCTGATGCTAGAGCAACCCACCCACAAACCACCATCAGGCTGCTTCTGGATGGGAACAGGCTCATCTGTCAAACTGGGGGATTCCTCTAGCACTTTGGACAGAGAGGCCACTTCCCCTTCTTGTGTTCAGCCTACTCTGTGCAATATATCCAGGACGTATCTTTTACCCACCCGCCTCAGCAGTGCCTGCTTTGTGGACTCAGTCAAGCTTCACTAACAGCAAATTTCACAGCCTGATGGTGGGTGGAGAGCACCAGCACACTCACCAGCACCAGAGACATCCAAAGGAAACCCCAAGTATTGGAGGAAGTGGTGCTTGTGACTCAGCTTTACCAGATGAATCAGCAAACAACTAACTGCCCATAAGAAAAGTTTAAACGTGGGTCTGGTATTTCTTTGCCTCTGCAGCAGTTACGCGTGATCTGGACTGAAGCCTGCTCCCCTGGAGCCGTGACCCCCGAGCAGTAGCTGAATGCCAGTTCCAGCACTTGTTCATGGTGATGCTCTTCCCTATCCTGTGACCTGGGGGTAGATGACTGACCCCAGGCCAGCAGAGCCGCTCTGGTTTCGCTCAAGGCACAGGAATGGAAATCATGGCATGTTCATCAGTACCAGAGAGTAAAGGGTCACATCTTTTTGCCCCTCTCAGAGCTCACATGCCACCTTCAGTAGCAGACGCACCGCCTGCACCACCCTCTCTCCATGCAGTAGCGCCCTTTTCACTTCAGCAGCACTCCTTCAAGAATCTGGGACACCACTGTGAACCAAGGCTGCCAACTCCAGCCTCTCATAATTTTTAATTGATGGACAATACTTGTTTAAAACACCAGCTGATTTCTGCTCCGATGTGGGGCCAAAGAGCAGAAGCTAGTAAATTGTCAGGGTTTAGTCCAGAGCTCTTTGCTGTAAAGCCTTCACATCACTTCCAAGCATGCCTGTAAGGGAAGACCTCGTGGACACTTGGTGCTCCTGAAACCTGGTGCCTGATGGGCCCTTCATCGCC